CCCATGCAGAAATGCATACCGTTTGTCCACATGTGGAAATGTAGACAGATGCTTCTCTGTGCCCATGGGCTCCAAGTCTGCTCATCAAAATTTCAAGGACAATTTGCGTATATACTGAACACCAGCAGATGTTTAGATAGCTGTCTTAGGAGCGTGAGTAGAGTTCATGCTTCAAGTTTGCCGGAGTCTGAGTCTTTGAGGAACTTAGTGAGCTGTGCTAGGAGCTAGGCAGCCTAGTTCTACTGTTGGCGGGAACGGTTTACATTCCCACAAGCAAGTGCGTGAGCGTTCTCTTTCGTCTGCATCGTCATCCTGATTTGTTGTTATGCCATGGAATTAGTACTCTGAGAGGTGTTTTCCCTTGGATTTATAAACATGTGCATTTGTATTTATTAAACAGTAAACATGTTTATTGTTCATGTATATGCACACGTGAGTGCAGATGCCCGGGGAGGCCAGAGGCCTCAGATCTTCTGGAGCTGGAAGTGCAGGCATGAGTATTAGGAACCGAACTCAGTCCTCCATAACAGGAGTATGTGTTCTTTTCACACTTTTGAAAAGGTTTCCTCATCCTCCTCTTCCTTCTTTTTAAAAATGTATATGCATTCTTTTTGTTTGTTTGTTTTTGAGACAGGAGTGCCAGGCTGGCCTTGAACTCAGAGATTCATCTGCCTCTGCCTCCTAAGTGCCAGGATCAGTAGTGTGTGCCACCACACCTAGTTAATGTGTATGCATTTTACCACAGCATAGTTCAGTTCCTTCCCTGCTGTGAAAATCACCCCACCCTGCCTGGTTTTACACAATAAAAACAACCCTGCACTGAAATCCACTGCCAGGGCCTTTTTGGAGTGCGGGTGACCTACTTTGAATAGATTCCTAAGCAAGTCTAAAGGGAATGGGGTCAAAGAGAATGCAGGCAGAGTCTTGCTGTGTGTGATCACAGAGGCCAGCAAGGGTATTTGTTGTCAGGGGACTCCAAATAACTCTCTGTGGGCTTCTACCTCCTGGCTGTGCCTCTCCCTGGATGAGTGGCACTGGTGTGCTTGAACTGGTGTGGTGGTGGTGGTGGGGAAGGGGATGGCGTTCCTACAGTCCTCATAAAAAAACTGGTCACATCTGCTCCTGGAGGACCTCCACTCATTCTGACCACACCCCTGCCTTTTGACATGCTGGTTTGCAAGTTGGACATTTTTGTTTTTCTCACTCTCTGTTAACGATGACTTAGCTCCTAAGACTCGGGCTAACACTCTTCGTATCGCAGAGACTTGCGGGCTGGATCAGTGGCCTGTGCTCCATTGTGGTATTTTATTCGACCTTCAGCTAAGCTCTCTCTTCTTCAGCATTGCCATGGTAACCTCCCTTCTTTGGGCAGTAAATATGGGTGGCAAGCCCTACATGCTTAATATATTTGATATTTTACTTTCAAAATATTCTTGAGGGAAGTTCAAATTGGCTGTTGAACAAAATAAATAAGTTTTTTTTTTTTTTGTGGTCAACAAGGGCAGAAGGCGGCAGCTTTGATAATTTGATAACTGAAAAGGCTGGGACTGGTCAAAAACCCGAACCTGGAGTGAGCGGTCACTTCTAGCTGCACTTGAGACAAGAAAGGAATGGAAAAGCACTCAGTGCAAAGGGACACTGACTCAGACCCAGATGCTGTTAGAGAAATCTGCAAGTCCAGAGCTTGCCGGGCTGAAGCGGGCCTGTTCCAAAGTCAGTCTCAGGGACGTCTGAGCTTTCGGCTGCCTACCCTGGAGGACACTTCTACACACAGTGCATTTTCGGGGTAGGGGGTTAGTTCTGGGGCTTTCCCCGCCCTTCTGAGTGACATCACACCACAGTTCTCCTTAGACGGGAAGCCCTTAGGTGTGCGCATACGCACCACAGAGCACGCTATGAACTTTATAGAGGCTATGCTATGTTGGCTTAGGAGAGACAAGCTGGCCCAATGCCTTTGTCTTTCTCCACTGCATGGTGTAACTGTGTGCCATTACAATAGGCACACCCCTATTTAGCAGTTCTTCAAATCAGAGAATTAAAATTGAAGTTTCGCAGTGAATTGCCTTAAGATCTAAAGCTTAAGTATTATGCTTCTTGACTTCACATTTCTTCCATCCTCCTTGTTTATTTATTTCCCCCTCTGCTCTTTTCTCCATTCATTTCTTTTTATGTGTATTTTTTCATGTATGTTTCCCATTCGATGGTATCGCTCTTGTGTAGTTGGGAGACAGTGTGGGGTGGTACAGCAGGGGGTAAGGTAAGGGTTAGGGTTAGGACTAGGGTTAGGGTGAGGTTAGGTTAGCGTTAGGGCTAGATTCAGATTTAGGTTTAGGTTTAGAGTGAGGGTTAGGGCTAGCAGTAGTGTTAGGGCTAGCGCCCAGGTTATAGTTATGAATAGGTTTAGGATTAGGGATATAGTTAAGGCTAGGACTAAGGCTAGGGTTAGGATTAGGGTTAAGTTTAATGTTAGCATTAGAAGTAGGGGTGGGATTATTGTAAGGTTTAGGGATTGTTAGGCTTAGGGTTAAAGTCAGACATAGGTTTAGCTCTAGGTTTTATCTGCAACTAAGTAGACCAGACTGTCTTGAACTCTCAAAGATCTGCCTTTCTTTGCCTTCAGAGTGCTAGGATTAAAGGCATTTCCCACCACACCTGGTTAAAACTTCAATCTTTTTGAAGAAAGAAGAAAACTGCATCTCTCACTAGATGTAACCAATTAGTATATTTCCAGGGCATTTTTCAATGTACTCTTTTTTAAATCCACTTTGAAAAAAAACCTTAAATATATTTAAAATTGTATTTTTTGCTAGTATGTATGTGTGACATGGGTATGTGTACATATATGTGTTTGCCTGTGGGGGGGTACATGTGTGTGTGCAGGTAATACGGAGGTCCAAAATTACCTCAGACATCTTGATTGCTTCCCATTGCATTTACTGTGGCAGAGCCTCTTGCAGAACCTGGAGCTTGCTGATCCCAGATTGTCCAGGTAGCCTGCTTGTCTGGGAGGTAGCGTACTTCTGCCTTCTGGGTGCTGGGATTACAGGTCAGCCATCACATTACCTGGTTCTTGTTGTGGTTCTGGGTTTCCAAACTCAGGTCTACACAGTACCCACTCTGGTACGGCAGTGCTTTATCTGCTGAGCCTCCTTACTCATTTTTATAGTTGTATCATAACTTATGTATGTATAAAAACTATTTTAATCCTTAGACTTTTAGGTGGACCCAGTTATATCATCTTAAACAATTATTTGGTAATGAGTTCACCATTTTTTCCCTTAGGAGATTTTTTTTAATGAATTGGGTTTTGCTGTCTTGTGATGATATCCAGGCTGGTATCAAATTTACAAGCTTCCCATTCCTGCCTCCTGAATGTTAGGATTATAAGCGTATACCACACACCTGGCTGAAATGTTATCTTCAATTCTTGATTCCCTACATGCTCATTTCACATTTGCTTGGGACATTATGGCTAGAATACCCCATTCCTTTTAAACTTTGGGTTGAGAGGTATTGAAAATCAGCTTGACTGAAAACTGGGATGAATATAGTGGTTCAAAACCATTCCTGAGGCATGCATGCATGCAAATGCTTAAGAATAGAAAAATCAAAGGAACAGTGGTCCCTGGAAGACCCTGAAATCCTGCTGTGTGCATGTATGAGTGCATAAGCTTGAGCGGGTGATTCCTGATGACTTTCTAGAGGCTTTGGGGCTCTCAGACTGGTCACAGTTTGGTGATTATCCAAGAGACCCAGAAGTTAGAACTCTGAAAAATTCAGGTCCAATCTAAGGAGAAAGAAATGAAGCAACAGCACTCATGCCCGGCCATTGGGCCTGGTGAGAATTAGTGAGTCAAAAAGCAAAAAGAATAAAAACGGTGTGAACGTGGAGTATTTGGTGGAAAGGGGGTCAGGGAAACTGGGAGGAGAGAGGTGGGGTAGAGGATGAGTGTATTATATATGTGTATGCAATTGTTGAAGAATATGTTACTTATAAAAATAAATTTAAAGAAATGACTGAAACAGCATCCTCAGGACACAGTCTTAATGGCACATAACAAGCCTGCATCTTGACTGGGCATCTTGGACTTGGTGAAACTAGGTACTGATGTTCCAGCTAAGGAAGTGGTTTTGGGATGGGAAATGATTCATAGTCCAATGGATTTTGTCAGGATTTCTTCTCCTGTGCCTGTGGGCAAAGACTTTCTGCCTGCACTACGATCAGTGCTCCCTCCCACCACCTTGGGCGATCATCTCAGGAAACAAAGCTACAAAGAAGAGAAGAGGATTGAGATGTGGGACAGAGCAAGATAGACTCTTGCTTGTGTCCCTCAATGAGTCAGCCTTGGCTTCAACTAGCCCGGTTATAAAAGCTAATACTCTGTGTGTCTTGGAGCTGTATGAGTGTGCACCAGTCCCTCACAGGCCCTGTCCTCCGTTATTACTGTGTCTTAAGTACCGCATTTTATAGATAAGGGAACTGAGACTTGGGAAGGTGAGATGCTTTGCTAAGTCTAATAGTTGGGAAGAGGCATGACCCAAGGCAGAGAGTGAACTGTTCTGACTTTGCAAGTCATTCCATTTCTATGTCCAGATACAGATTCAGTGACTACAGCTTATCACTCTTCCATACCAGTCTTAGGTCAAGAGGGCAGGCACTGGCTTTCTTGTTTCACAGGGCTATGGACGAGACAACAATGCTAGACATTTTAGTTTGGTGCATTCGTGGGCAGACAGGCTAAACTGGTTGCTTAGACCCCGTGCTTCACTCCTGATTGTTCCGAGAACCTCGATTCATTAAGGCTTCTGAACTCTCAGAAGCCATTAGCCAGGCTGGACCCAGACTTCACGGGCTTCCAGGCATCTGGCTTCTGCTCTTGTAGACACAGATTCTGCAAGCAGAAGCAATTCTGGAAAGAGGCATTCATTTAGCTTTGAAATACTGAAACTTCTTATATCCACATCTCAAAGCTTGAAAAAACGAGTAGAATTATCCAAGCTGAAGTTAACAGTGTTTTTAATATTTAAGTAACAAAATATAGAGGTTAGCACTCAATGCATACAATAAGGTAGAGCCATAATGAAAAGGTGACAAAGCACAGTCTATGGGAAGGCTTTTAAACAATCACGGGTTAAGCTGAGTGGTGGTGGCGCACGCCTTTAATCCTAGCACTGTGGAGGCAGAGGCAGGCAGATCTGTGAGTTTGATGCCAGCCTGGTCTACAAAGTGAGTTCCAGGACAGCCTGGTCTACACAGAGAAACCCTGTCTGGAAAAACCAAAAAAAAAAAAAAAAAGACCACCCCAAAACAACCAATGACATGTTAGAGAAATGCTAACTGAAAACACAGCTGTGCTCACGGCCTCCAATCTGACCAGGGACTTTCTGGTGGGTGGGTAGGTGGGGGTCCAGGGAAGCTCACTGTGTCCACGGTCTCAAAGGGATGACCTTCCATTCGGACCCCAAGAACCTTAACCTTCACACTCTCAATTGCTCACATCTGCCTCCTTCTTTCCCTCTTCTCTTGAATTGTTTGATCTGTTCATTTTTCATTATGCCACCTCAGACAATGAGTTTCAGGATGGCCCTCTTCAATATAGCCTAAAACCACTGGTGTCCCAGTGGGAAGGACTCTGTGTGCTACCCTGGAGCCAGCCCTGAGTATTCACTGACCTCCTGGAGGCTATTTTCATATGCACTATTAATGTGAGGACTGCCCTTTCCTCCACAACAAAGCCACGGCCAGGCTCTTACTACTGCTGTCCTGGGCCTGGGTGGGTTTTAATGAGCATCCTTATCTCCATTTTGTGGGAGCCTATTCCAGCTGCATGCTGGGATAGAGTTCATGCTTCTCCTCAAAAAGGCAGTCCTACAAGCACAGAGAAGGGTGTGGCCCACATATTAATTTCTGAGGCAGCTGTCAGAACCACAAAACAGGGCCCAGGCAGTGGCACGGTAAACTGGCTGTGACTGTAACTATGCACAGGCTCACTATTCTTCTTGAAAAAAAGGAATAGTTTAGGATTTGGGATTTGATTTTTTTTTTTAATGCAAAGGCTGCACCTATGAGTACTCAGGTTGTGGAGATCTCAAAAGAAAACAGGTCAGTAAGCTTTTCATGAAGTTTGGATTTATGTAGAACCTTATAGAGTACAATAGAGACAAAGTCAAGTAATAATTCCCTGCCCCCCAGATGTTTCCATATGTAAGGGTGAGGCTAATTCACGGAGATATTATATAGCATTTTGCTAATGTACTATTTATTATAACTGTACATTGGACTTAGGTTACGAAAATCCACTTCTTTCTTGTCTAAGGAAAATTTCTGACAGAAGGAGGGCCTCAGGTAGAAAGCTCTGGAATGGTCTTGTTGAAATCAGCAGATGGCAAGAGAAGCAGAGAGGCTGCCTTGCCTCCCCTGAAAACCAGTGGGGTAATAATGTTTTAGATAGACACGTGGCCAACTCAGATGGAAGGCTGGTTAGATCACAGCTATCTCTCCTCTACTTTTTTTCTTTAGTCAGCGTTCATTAGTTTTATTTAGTCAAGTTGGGGGTGGGTAAAGCAAAATTAGTAGGAAATAATGCCTTTTAGTCTATTTTTTCCCTTTTAAAGTTTTCTTGGGGGTCAAGCTGGGAAATAGATCATCAACAGGTTTATTAAATATGAGGAAAGAAAGTTTGTCTAAGTCATTAAAATATTGGTTAGTGAGTTAAGTTACATTCTATCACCAGATTTAAAAGTTCATAGGAAAAGGCAGAGGATTGGGATACATGGCTGTTATGGCCTCTAACTCATAAATGATAACTCATATGTTTTGTGATGGAATATTTAGAGACAGAGACAACACAGCCTAGACTGTCTAGCCTCCCCATGGATGAAATTAAGTCTTTACCAGCTTCCAGCTGTCAGTCAAAAGCAATAATGGAACAAGGTAGAATGTTCTTGTTTTGGGGTGAGCTCTTCTTGGGGAAGGGTTTCTTCTGCATGAGTCGGGAGGTGTCTTAGAGCATTACACATAGTCAAACTTGGTAGGATGAGACTGTTCATCATCTTCTGTTCGGGCGCCCCCATCATATATCTTCTTGTTTCTGACATTGGACCCAAAGCCAGTGCTGGCCTTGAAGCCTCCATGCTTGTAGGCAACATTTTGGCCAGAGGCATGGTAAGACACGGCTTTGAAGCTGAAAGCAAAAGAAAACAATTCATGAACACCGGTGTCGTTAGTAGGAAGACCAACTTCTTCATTTACTCTTGGTTGTCTCAGCTTCAGCACCAAAGAGTTCAGTGTTCATAGAGATATGTGAGTCTTGACCAGACCATGCTACTTAGTCATCATGTTCTTAGAGGTATAAGCCATCTGTGGTGGAGCAGAATTTATTCCTTTTACACCAGGCCTTCAAAGAAGAAAGGAAACTTGGAAGGGAGGAAAACATTTAAAGGAAGAAAAGAAAGATGATAGAGAGGGTGATGGAATACCTGTGACATTAGAAAATTGGATACACATGGAAATGTCATGCTGAAGCTTGTTGTTTCATGCAAACTTAAATATTTCTTCTTTCTTTCTTTCTTTCTTTCTTTCTTTCTTTCTTTCTTTCTTCTTTCTTCCTTCCTCCCCACCTCTCTCTCTGTCTGTCTGTCTCTCTCTCTCTCTTTGTCTCTCTCTCTCTCTCTCTCTCTCTCTCTCTCTTCTTTCCTTTCTTCCTTTTTTTGAGGCAGTATCTCATGTAGCTTAGTTTGGGCCTTTAACTTGCTGTGGAGCTGAGGATGACCTTGAACTCCTGATTCTCACTGTCTCCACCTCCTCAGTGCTGGCATTGTAAGTATTTACCTCCTGGGCTTTTGTTTGGTTTTGATTCTAACCTAAAAAGTTAATTAAAAATTCTGTCTGTCTAATACATGTGCATTTAGAGCTGTAATGAGACAGTTGCTGTTGACTACTGAGTTATTTCCTTTAATTAAAATGAAGGTGACAATGTCCAGTGGGACTTTGTTTTGATGAAGAATCACAGAATTTGTTGGCTGGAAAGTACCTATGTGTAACTTCTAATTTTCTTGTTTTATGGGCAAAGTATCTGAGGCCACTGGTGTGAATGTGTGCCTCCAAAATTCATGGGAAAATTTAATCCCCAGTGTGATGGTGTTAAGAGATAGGCCTTTGGAGCAGTGGTGGCATGCAGTCTTTAGTCCCAGCACTCAGGAGGCAGAAGCAGGCAGATCTCTGAGTCTTAGGCCTGTTAGGTCTACAAAGCAAGTTCTAGGACAGCCAGGGCTACACAGAGAAACCCTGTCTCGAAAAACCAAAAACCAACCAACCAACCAAACAAACAAACAAAAAGGGATAGGCCTTTGGAGACATGATCAAGCCATGAGGCTGGTCAAAAGGATTGTTTCTTTGCCCTCCTATTCCTTCTCCCATGTGAGCAACCTTCCTCTCCTGTAGAGAATGCAGGAAGGTGCCATCTTGGCAGTAGAGATTGGGCTCTCACCAGGCACTGATCCCAATGTCTTCATCTTGGACTTCTAGCTCTAGAGCTGTGACAAATACATTTTTGTTGTTCATAAATTAGCTATTGTAGGGTGTTGTGTTGTAACAGTCCTAATATTCTGTCAGAGGCCGGGAGAGCAAAAATGACTTGCCCTACTTGTAGGGCACGTGAGTGGTAGAACCACCACACAGTTTGGCTTTACAGATCCCAGATCCTTTACAAAAGGTTATTCTTGATAGAGGGGCTGTTGGTACTTTGGAGCAAATCCTGAGGGATACTCTTGTGCATTGCTGGATGTCCACCCTGGGCATATACCCACTAGAAACCAGATTTGCTTCCCCCTACCATCTTCAAAGCAATCAAATATTTTCAGGTGTTGCCAAATGTCTCTGCAGTTGGTAGAGATGCAAAAATCTCTTCCAGGGAAGGGTTGCAGAATTAGGAAACACTGGAGCTAGAAGGAACTTAGAAGTATTGCCCTCACCCCACCCCCATTATCAAAGAGTACCTATCTTAGACACTCCCAGCGGAATCTTGCTCTGTTCTTCTGATTCCCCATAAAAGAGGAAGTTCGATGGAACACGTATGTGGATCAGTTATTCTGGCTATAAAGTACACATCAAATGGAATTCTAGCTACAGTGTGTGGGGGTTACTCACTTGCTTTCATCTGGTGTCAGGCCACGGCAGGCGATGCACATCATCACACCCCCAATTAGGGTGAGGCCTCCAGCCACCCACCCCACGAATAGAGCTGCACCGAAGGTGTACCTGCAGAGGGAGATGCGGTGAATACAGCTGACTAAACCCTCCAGGTTCTTCTCATTGCTTCCAGCCATCCTGTCCCCCTTGTTCTCCTTTGGCCCCTCCTTCCTCTCTCCTGATCTATGAGTGAGCCTCCAAGGCTTGGCAAGAGAAGTTTGAGAGTGATGGAGCCCGCCTCAAGTTGTTTCTGAGGGAGTTTTGGTATTTTGAGTTTTCATAGTGAACCTTATCTCGGGTGGCATTGCACAGTGACTCTTTTCTAAGGGCCCAGGCATTAAAGGCTTGATAGCCAAGGTAGTCCTATTGGGAGATGGTGGACTTTTAGGAGTTGTGACCTATAGAGGGGCTTTAGACGCCTGATATTAAAATTGAGAAACTCCCAGGCAATTAGGAATTACTTGATCAGCTACTTCTAGGTTGTTCTTATAACCAAGAGACTATGGGCGAGACCTGGAGTAGAATAATGGCAGCTTATGCCATCTCATTCCTCCTCAGTCTTGAAACAAAGCAGAGACATGAATGGCCCCTGGAGTTCCAGAGTCAGACCATGACAGGTTCTTCTATGTAGAGGGATTTATAGCACTCTCTGGAAACGAGAACCTTCTCCTTTGGGGCTTGGCTAATGTTTATTACTGAGCTACATCAATCTGATATTTGGTTTAAACAAATATAGGTGTTGATATTGCTTTTCCATTAAACATCTTTTTTTCTCCTGTGGCTGGAGAGATGGCTCAGTGGCTAAGAGCACTGGCTGCTTTTCCAGAGGACCCAGGTTCAATTCCCAACACCCACATGGCAGCTCAGAACAGTCCATGGGATATGACACCCTCTTTTGGCCTCCTCAGGCATATGTGGTATATTGACATATAAGCAGGCAGACACTCGTACACATAGAATAAAAAGAAATAAAATCTCAAAAATAAAAAGTTATCTTTTTCCCTTAAGGTATCAAATCATAGTGAGGTTTCATCTACATCTCCTAGACCTTCCTTGGAATGGGGAACTTGGCTGTATCTCTTGTACTCTGGCCTCTGCATGGGCCACAGCAGGTGTTCAATACATTCGCTGGGTGAATGAATGAGAGAAAAGGCAACGGTACCAGGAGGAAATAGCCCTTCCTCTACCCACACTGGACTTTACTCCTTTCCGTTAGAGTTTTTCCCTGCTCCTGTCAAGCTTCCATTATGGACTTTAGGTCTAAGTTGATGTTCATTTACATCTTGGGTTAAGCAGGCCTATCATTTGCCACCACAATGGAGCCTGTGTAAGAATGTTAGATAAATGCTGCGAGCTGTCACTGTATTTCAGTGCAAATGCCGGATCAGCCTCAAGTCATATCAGCAAGGGTATTTCATGAAAATGAAGTTTATGAATTTACAGATCATGGTTGAGTTATGATACAGCATGGCTGCCTCTGATAAATGCTTACTATTTCAGGCCCTGACAGTCACATTAGGCATGGTTTAATCATCCTCTTACAATATTCTCTGTGGATCACCAAGAAGCCAACTAGGAGGTTACCTCGTCTGAACAGTCTGCACCATTCCACCCATGCCACTGTACATGTTAGCTGTGGACATCCAGAAGTTGGTAACCAGCATGTTGGCAAACACCGACACACCAATAATTGCACAGATTCCTGTGGAAAAGGATAAGGACCAGGTTAACAGACCACAATGTCTCCGAGGCAGTTTATGTTGAAACGAGTTCAAATGAAAAGACTGTAGGAAATCCAGCCACTGACTGTTGAATTCCCTCCATGTGTTGGACAGTAGGCAAGGTGCTCATCTTATATTTAATTCTGAAAAGATTCATTGGGACCAAGGGTAAATAAACCAGCTCTAGGGGCTGCTCTTTAGTTACTGGCAAGAGCTTTCACCTTTAAACCACTGCCTAGCATTTCACAAAGAAGATGCGATTTGAGGGCTCAGTTGCATGCTTGCGTTAGGGGTGACCCTCTACTATTGCAGTGTCAGGAGCAGCTGAGAGGGACCTTAGAACTGGTTACAGGTCTGTGGGATGTAATTTGGCTTCCACATGCTCAGACCTTGAATCCTAGTGTCAAGCACTCTGAGCTATGTTTAACAGTGGGGAGGGGACACTTTTCTCCTATTAGAATAATTTGTTCTAACATTTGCAGGTTCATGCTTGAGAGTGGGAGTCTGTGTTTACCTGAGATGATGAACAGGATCCCAGAGGTCAGCGTCATCTTGGCCTTGGCAGAATCATCCATGCTGCCAATCCGAATGCACTTCAAGGCGAAGACGGACACTAGAATCCCAAAGACACCCAGAACAATGCCCACGATCATGAGGGCTCGCACTGCTTGCAACATGGCTGCAGAAGAAAGGGCACGGCACAAGCGGATAAGCAACTTCACTGATTAGGTTTCATACTGGTAAAACACAGCAACCCCAATTAACCAGTGCTGAATCTCTGAGGACCAGCAAGACCACAAACTTTGACACTGTGTAAAACGTGGAATTGTGGGAAATGCAAAAAGGCATCACTTGTACTCCTCTGAGTGATGAAGGATGTGCACATAGATGTCCATAGAATGAGTGACTTATGGATGGATGAGGTTGAAAGAACTCTGGGTATTTATTCTGATTTCAAAACTTGACAATCTGGGCCCAGAAAGGGAATGTATTTGTCTAAAATTATTTATTGAGCTGACATGAAACTCAACCCACACATTATTCTGCTTGTCTTTGCATAAGAATTGAAACCTTCATGCAGCAGATACAAATTTAGGGAAAGCCAGGTGGTAGTGGCAACGCCTTTAATCCTAACACTTGGGAGGCAGAGGCGGGTGGATCTTTGTGAGTTCCAGGACAGCCAGGGCTATACAGAGAAACCCTGTCTCAAAACAAACAAACAAACAAACAAACAACAACAACAAAACAAACAAAACAAAAATAAAACAAACTAAAAAATCCCCACAAAGAACCAAACTTCAAGGAAACTCAGCACTGTCTGGCATGAAGATATGACAGTACTGAGACTATACCAGAAATGCTCTTATTTTTGTCCTTTTTCATGAGCAACTACTAAGGTCATGGGTGAACTGTAGGTTTCTAATTACATAATGATCAGAATGTTAACATTAAGCCTTTCAACAGTGTCCCCTTTCTAGGAACTGATTGTTTCTGTAGGTCCAATCAGATCCTGTTATGGACCTAATCTCCAGTTATGTCCAACATAGCTTGCATCTTATCATTAAAATACAGCGACTCATCTTAATAGTCACTTACCGAGACCCCTACAATGGTGATAGGATGTCAGTAGTGAACACTATGAAATGTTGAGAGACGTTCATCAAGCTTTCTAATTGCAAGCATAAAGAACTTTATAAGGAAGACTTATAGTCCTTGGTGTCTTCCAGTGGGCAAGTCTCCTATTGGGGTCAGTCTGGTGGAGTTCAGCTGCTCAGCTGTATACCATATGTGCATATGTTCCATATATTTGGTACATAAAAAACATCAGACACCAATTTGTTTTATCCTTCTAGTATAGACCCTTCTCTCCATCGCACAAATTCTGATGGAGTAACCATGTCTTATATCAGGACTTTAAAAAAATCTTTTACTTCTAAATGCCATAGGTTGATGTACTGGTAAAATGCAGAATCACTTGTTTGAGTGTCACAGAAATGTCAAATTGCTATAAAAGTTTAGAATTGTTCTTTCTCAATTTAGGAAGCAGAACTGTTAGATGGAAAGCAAACAGCTTGTGGGACAGACTGACCCATGGGCCCACTTTGAGTTATCTACCAAACCTGACCTTTCAGTCTAATAGCTTGTCTCTTGACCACAATGACTTAATCTAGCATGGGCATGCGACTGGAACCTGGAAAATGAGACCCTCATGTGAGATGTTTGTACTTTGGATACAAATCACTTTCTCTCTTAAGGGGTGTGATGCATGGTCTAGGGGCTCCAGGGCTTCCATCAGGTGGAGAAGCTGCCACATAATGATGAGAAAGTGAAGGTCAAGAGGAGGTACAGAGTTCCGAGAAAATCTGAGCTGTGGATTCCAGCTACTCAGGAGGGCTAAATACCTTCTTTGCTTGGGACCTACGAGTTATCCTGACACCATTAAAAGATACTTTGAACTAATTCATGTTGAGACTGTTAATTGAAATCAGGTGATTCTAAATTATGCAAGACAGTTTCACCAGTGTTTTTCTTTAAAGTCTAATTGTTGATGGACAGTTTCCAAAGCATGACCAAAGAATTGCTAAGGGTCCTTGCTGATGGGAGGACCCTCTCATGTGAAGTCACAGCCACAGACACCACATCCCACACTGCAGTGTCAGAGGATGGATAGAAAAATCGTTTTTCTCTTGTTTGAAACCACTGAAATGATGACTTAGTTATATAAGCAGTAAATGATCATTATGAATATTTCCGAACTTGCATGAACCTCCCAAAGACTCTTTAGTTCACTTCTTGGGGACAACTAACAGCAGCATCTTGATGAGTATTTTTTCTGGGAAGCATTTCCTTTTAGAGAAGACAAACAAAGCCCCACTGAGGGCTACACTACTGTTTAGACCCAAGGCACCAAATCAGGAACCAGCTAGAGATGTAGACTTATAGGCCCTGTAACGTTCTAATGATGAGGGGGTCACCTGAAAGAGATGTCATTCTTAGCTTCAGTGACACCAGTTAATATTGTCTAGGTGAAATTCAAATTTGGGAATAGAAAAGAAAACAGCAGAAATACTTCCTTGAACCTTCTTGCCACACCCCTTGGCTGAGACGAGATATCACAGACTCTAGCTCAACATTACAGACCTCCATCTACTTTGTTCTGATTCGCATCTTCCTCAGGACCTTGAGATTCTTTTGGAAATTGGAACTGCGATGGAGACAGGTGCTAGAAAGTGGGTGGACAAGTGTACCATCCATAACGATCTTGGAGAGTCAAGGTGCTCTGAGCTTCCCTTTCAGCCTGAAGAGTCTACTATTTGGAATCCAAACTCTTCTCCATAGACAGGAAAATTACCTGGAACCATAGGCTTTATCAAGTGATAGCATGTGAGTCAGCAGGCTCTGTGGTCTGATTCCCTACACCAAAGGTGTGACTGCAGCATTCTTTCCAGTGAATAATTAGCCATATCAGCCAGAAACAAGGGCAAGACTCAGGGCTGATAAAAACAAACAGCAAGGTTGGAACTCAGCCTTCCTTCCCTGTTGCAAAATATCCCGTTCAGTAAAGTAGCCATGGAATAATGGGTGAGGGGTGCCAAGGTGTGGGTCTCAACCCTGGTTGCTCCTGAGCATGCTTGGGTACCTTTAGAGAAACAACAATGGTATGACATCATTCCGAGCCTTTCATTAGTAAGATTTTTAGTGTGAAGATTGTCCTGAAGGGTGGCTCAACGAGAGAGTTCCTAGAACAGCCAGCACTGAGCTGGCATCAGAGTAGTGCTGGGAAGACAATAGTTCACTGGAAACCAAAGGCCTATGGGTGGAGGATTCGGGAAGTAGGATGAGAAGCCACGATTTCAGGTAGTTGGGGCTCAGACTGGAGGCAGGAATTGCTGGAGGGGGGAGTCCACATAGGGAAGTCTGTGACTGACCTCAGAGGGGATGCTACAGAACAAAGCAGACCTGGTTTCTCCAAAGAGCTCAAGGACCCAATAGGGAGGCCCTTATGTCTCTGAAATTCTGCCACACTGTGGTGTCAGCTGAGTGTCCCTGGGCAAGTCATTTGACCTCAGTCGACGTTCCCTCCACTCTGGAGTGAAATATAGATTTCTCTTGCGGAGAGACGCTATGAGGATCAGGCACCACTTGGTATCCAAATAAAATCAAGCTAGAGTTGATACATATCGATTTCCTCTGTTTCCCTAACAGAACCACTTCCCTGGAAGCTCCACATGGCTTTGGCTTGTACAAACTATACATGAGCATGTGATAAAACTGCCGAGTGTGTGATCGTGATGAGCAAAAGAAGATGGCTGAGAAAAGGGAGGCTCGACCTAGTGGCACCAGGGGGGTTAAAAGCACAGACAAAGGGCGACACACAGGATGGTGCCCGCAATGAACAGAGGAGCCAAATGAACTTAATCCCTATTACAACAGTATAAATAGTATAAGAGGTGGAGTCTTGAGAGGAGGGTTCGGTCCTTAGGAATGACAGAAGGTCTTATCAAAGGGGTCATGGAAGTCTGGCTGTAACTTTTGGCCCTTTCTTTCCTTTCACGATGTGAGAACACAGCACAAGCTAACAACATCTCAAGAGAAGCAGAACTGCCATCACTGTGACCCTGGACTTTCCAGCTTCCAGAACTGTGAGAAATAAGCAGTGGAACTGTGGTTCATCAACTTCCCAGTCTAAGGTCCTTTTGTTATAATATTTTGTCAGTCTTTGAGATGAGACCCGGCTGTGTAACTCTAGCAATGTGCCCCCCCTCCAAGAAACGATGCTGTACCCTGACAGGGCCAGTCCCTGGCATGCCACACTGTGGTAGTTGGCTCTGCCATTGAGACCAGGACCACCACAGCTGCAAGCTGAGCAAGCATTCTGGTTCTTTGGGGGGCATTTTAATTTATTGTTATTATTATTATTATTAGACAGGGTTTCATTGTGTATATCTGACTGTCCTGGAACTCACCCTGTAGACCAGGCTGGCCTCGAACTCAGAGATCTGCCTGCTTCTGCCTCCCAGGTGCTAGGATTAATGGTGTGTGCTACTTACTACTGCTGGGTGTTCTTAAGCCTCAGCTTTGCTCCTTGAGAAACCAGGGCAAGTGGCCTCATTTTAGCCCAAGTTACAGGACCTCACAGGCTTTATAGATGTGGGCTCACCTCCCTGTGTTATCTCCTTCACATGTATGATGATGTATAAACACTGGAATGTTTGTCCTTATAGTCGAAGGTATGCTGTGCTCCCCAAGGGCCCCTCCAGCCTCTACCCGTTTGAAGGGAGCAAAAACAGCTTGTTTAAAAACTAGCTGGGCACTGCCAGTGCCCAGCCCAACTTTATGACTGATGGACTCATTCACCTCTTAGGGCCAGGTTTCTCAGTTACTGGGAGTAGACCGGCTGGTTTCACATGACCAGAACATTAGACATCATGAGAAAACATTCAGCCAAGGGCAAAAAGAAATGAGCAGGACAACTTAGAAAACATGCTTCAGAATAGTCATTTTTTTCCTTGCAGTGGTTGGTGGGAAAGTCTCCAGGTCTCCAGCGGTGGTTGACTTTACACATGATGCAGAAGGGAGGAACTGAAACTTCTCAGATGGAAACCCCCGATTCTGAGTGCCTGCTGTGAGGCTGAGAATACTGAAGGACCCGGACACAGATGTGACAGGGGTGGGGAA